GAGTCAAACTACTCAATAATAAACTGAATCATAAACATGCAGCTGATTTGTTTGGAAATCGGGAAATAATTCATCGAAATAGCGAGAATCTGGGGTTTCATTAAAAAGGGTTATACTTTAATTAGGACCAATATAATCCTTTTGGGCAGATATAACTCATCTGGAAAATTGATTGATTTCAACAGATATACGGATATCGTTAAATCGACCTTGAATTTTTTGCTTGTCACAAATATATGAACTTTATGGGGCCTCTGACGAATAATTCGCTTTATTGCCAACGGAATGACAAAGTCAATATACGCTTCAGGGATTCTATCAAAAGGAGGTCTCTATAAGATATTATTTTCTAAAGGTCCAATAAAGAAAAATTAAGAAATTGTAGTCAGAATCTAGGAAGTTCAGTTCAACATATTGAGATATAATGAGACTTACGGGATGTTGTCAGTACCTTGACATCCTTAAATACCGTCATTATTCAAACAAATGATTTCCTGATCAATTTGATATCTTTGAAACAAACTCCCCTGTAACTGAGAAAGTGGCGCCCAACATGTAGTTAAAACTTTGAAATTTCTTATTAAAGCTTTCGCAATTATTACACAGAAAGGTCATCTGCCCACAATTATTCGATGGAAGGTATGTTCTTAGAAATCTTCTTAAACCCTAAAGAAGACAGCCTAATTTTAACCCTAAGTTTAAAGTCTACTTAGAGGTCTATTTTCTAAAGTTATGTTAAAAAATGTGTTATCTGTAAGAGTTCGGTCTATTATATATTTTTGGTAAATTCTAGCCAAAAGAAGATCTATCTGTATGGGGCCCGTGTTTTATTTATTTAAATATTTCAATCTTAAATTCAATTCAAAAATATTCTATTATTTTGTATCGCTTCGTGTCACATTTCCATTAAGCCAAGAAACAAACACATACACACACACATCAAATTGACATTGAGATTTTAATGTAAACATATTCGCAACAACAACAATGATAACCGTTGAACATTTCATGACATTGTCAGTTTTCTTTCCAATGTATGACTCGGTCTTGACAACATGTATCGTCTCCATCGTTGGCTGTCGTCATCGTCGTCGTAGCCATTGACAACATCATCTTCGGTATGGTTTCAACATTATCTTCAGCAACCATGTTCAACTCATGTTTCCTTGGAAAAAAATAATGTCTCTCTTTCTCGCTGTGCAATTGAATGTCTGTCCAGAGTCCTGAATTTTGTGAACAGAGGAAGAAATTTTTAGTTGGAAATTGAACGGCTTTTTACGTAATGAAAATAGTGTTTTTGCATGAAAATTTTTCTCGGTGTACACCAGACAGAATCTAAATTCAAATTACCATGAACATATACAACAAAAATGTTTGAAATAAAAGAAAAGGTATCCTTTTAACGTTTTTAATGATCAATTTGTAGAGTATGATATTTCTATTTAGCCATATATGCATGCCAAACAGTCAGCCAGCCAGCCAGCCAACCAGTCATCATCCAACCAACAAACCAGCCAGGTAAATGCTGCAGCAACAGCAGTGGCAAAATATGCATAATGTTGCATGAATGGGAATAAAAATGCTATGCAGCAGGAACCCAATGGTGATTGGATGTTGTTTCAGGTAGCACAACACACAGCCACCTCAATAATGATAATGATGGCAATAATAATGACGTTTTTGTTGTTATTGTTGATGGCCATGTGATGGCCTATTCTATGTGTACGAGTTTTTTTTTGGGATCTCTGGCTTTGAGTATGTCTACATGAATTTCTGGGCTATTATCATAGCTGAAAAATCATGTTGAGGAACGTGTTGTACATTGTTGTATTGGCAATAATAGTACCTGGTTAGTTCTTCTTCTTTGCTGTCTTTTTGATATACATGTTCGTTCGTTCGTTTGACTCTTCATTCATCCAACCATGCATGTGTTCGTCTGTCCATACTTCTATTCAACCATCCATCTCGAAATGATTATGGTTCGATGGGGTTCTGTTGTTGTTGTTGCTTTACTGGCGTTATGGTAAATGTGTTATGTTGGCTAATGATGACATTGGTGACATTAGTCGGTGGCAACCGGCTAATAGAGATGAGACAGTGTGGCATGAGTGGAAATTGTTAACTAAAAATAAATCAAAATAAAGGGTTCAAATATTCCTTTTTTAATTTTTAGCGATATTTTTAAATTACGAATTTTTGGAGGAATAACGAAAGCATATTTTCGAGGTCGATTTTGTAGGTTAATAAATATTTTCAACATATTCTGCGGTTTGAAGCGATTTCTATGGAACACTTCTTGAATTTTTATAGAGAACTTTCTTGGAGGACTTTTATCATTTTTTTTAAATTTCAAGGACAAAAACTGGAGATTCCTAAGAATAGGTTTAAAATTTAAATCGGAACTACTTCCTTTTTATACCCTACGCCATATATAGTATGGGGGATATATTAAGTTCATCATAACTCATCAAAATAATATATACAGGGTGAGATACAAAAAACTGCAACAAAGTCAAACGCCATAATTTTTACATTTTTTTTAAATTTTATTGAATGAAAGCAAAAAATGTCAGAAAAATCACAAAATTTTAGAATAAGTTTAGATTTGTTCGAATTGGTCACTTTTGGCACGAATTATGGCCTTCAAACGGCCAATGTAACCAACACACGCTGCCCGAATGTTTCTCTACGGTATTTTCGACGCATTCCCGGCGAAGCGCTTGCTTGAAGTGATCGACACTTTGCTATTTTTTTAGTGCCAACCATGTTTTTCAAAATACTCCAGACACAATATTCCAACGGATCGGCATGCAGAGATTTCGGTGGCCATTTTGCGCTGGAAGTGAAGCAAGGAATCTCATTTTGTAACCATTCTCGGGTGGGCGTGCTGTTTCCCCAAGGCTTTAATACACCATCCAAAGTATTTTCGCGATAATATTCGACATTTATTCTTATGTCGATTAATACCAGCGGAGAGCGACCATCGGCTGTAATGGCGGCCCCCACCATTACCATGGCCGGCGCTTGAGTTCTGGTGGCCAACCCAAGGTGCACATTTTCAGCTGACCTTTTTGGCAAGTAAACACGATCATTTTGTTTGTTTACAAACTGCCTTAATCGGAGAAAACCAAATTCAGCAGTTCACCACTTTCGGCCAAGCGAAGCAACTCTTTAGCTCTTTTGAGTCTATTTTCTTTCTGTTGCGATGTAAGATCTTGCACGTTTTGAAATTTCAATGCCTTTACCCCGAGGTCGTTTTTTAATATTTGCTGAATGGAATATTGCGATATATTCAGCTCACGAGCCATTTTTCGGCCACTGCGACGCGGGTTTCGATCAAGTCGCTTCTTTACTTTTCGAACTATTTCTGCCGATGTTGCTGTTTTTGTCCGTCCACTTCCTTAACGGGGGCTACGCTTTCAGTGTCACAGTAACGAGCGATGGTACGAGTCACAAAAGATTTATTCACAAATAAATGCTGTTGTGATATAACGATAGCCACTGTGGTTTTCTACCCAAATATAAAAAAAAATCACACTATCACGCTTGAATTCCATCAGGAATAATTTTTTTCCTGAAAATTCTCACCAAAATGCTTTTGTACGCTTGAAAACAATATAATGAGCTGTTAGTGGAATAATTTTAACAGCTGACGGACGAGTAGCTTAGAAATGACAGAAGTTGGTTGCAGTTTTTTTCCTCTCACCCTGTATGAGTCTACGATATCGTTTGGATGAATTTACCGATATTTTTACCGGAATTGCTTTAAATTTCGTATTTCAAGTTCAGCCTATAGCAGTATTTATGGACATATTTCAAGTTTCTTCAAAATGCCGAACTTTGCTGCTTTGAATTAAGGGGAAATCTATCATTTCTATTTATTGCTATGAATACCCTTTCAAAACCACTGTCCCTCCCCACTCCCTTTACCTACCATTGTTCTATTCTCTTGGTTATTATTACCAGTTAATATTTGCCATGGTTTCTAATAATTTGCTTAACATGATTATCAATTGTTATTATTTCATGTCGGGTTATTCATGTTGAAAAGTGTCAGGCCGGCCGGACGGACGGTTGGGCGGCTGGCTGGTTGTCTGTCTGTCTGGCCGGCATGATTGCATGCTCTTTAGGCTATGTCTAGCTAATAGTTTTAATGGCCAACAAAATGAAGAAAAACGTGATATGCATTTTAAATGAACTCTGTTTTTTTTAGAAGGCACCCACTTAAAACATTTCCATATTATTATTTAGACTATTTGAAAATAAACTAAGTTATATAGCAGATTGTGTTAATTTGGAAAAATGTATATATTTTAGAGTAATTAAAATAATATTGTGTGGGTTGTGAAAATTCTGAAATTGATAGAGAAAATATTTAAATTTCCAAAACGAAAAAAGTAAAAAATAAAATATAAATAAATTCTTTATATATTTTTTTTAAAAGGATAGCAGGATTTGAATTTATATATATATATTTTTTTTCTAAAATTTTAAATATATTTTTTCTAATATGTTAAAATAAGCTCAATTCTTTTGTTCCAGAACGTTAATTTGTATGAATATGAATATTTTGCAAGTATTTATACAAAATAATTTCAGTGTTTGTGTTAATAAAGAGAAACCTCTTCATAAATTCTAATGTAACAAAAATTTTTCATATTTATCTATGAATAATTATAAAATTTTTTTATTTTGATTTTTTTTTTTTGGAAAAATAAATATAAGAAGGACAATAAGAATATGAAGATTTTATGAGCATTTGTAACAGTGCTATTATTTTTGCCATTATTTCTCAGATATTTTCAATTTCATGAAAATCCTGAATGTTTATATATAGGTTACTGATATCCGCATAATAACCCGCCTACTTCATGAACCATATCCTGTCATCTCTCAGTCGTTTGTTGTAACTTTTCTTTTGTATTATCTAGAAATATGTTGAACAATTTCTCCATACATTTTCAATAATATTCTGTGTTTTTTTCTCTTTATCGTTATAGCTCAATATCAATCACCCCGTATTATTGAACATCCCACAGATTTGGTGGTAAAAAAGAATGAACCGGCCACACTGAACTGTAAAGTTGAAGGCAAACCCGAGCCCACGATTGAATGGTTTAAGGTAAGTGATTAAAAAAAAGGACAAATAGTTCATCATTAGTAGATTAGTGAATTAATTTTTAAAATCGGAGAAACTTTAAGATCTGTAGATTTTTTATAACACTGTGCTGGAAAATGCAATATTCTATGAAAATATGGGTAAAAATAGAAGACACTTGTATCGATATTTTGGAAGTTGACATCGCAAAGTAACTAATCTTCCTCAAATTTTCAAGTTTTCACACCTAATCTATTTGGAATCAATGGATTTTAGGTATTAGGTAATTTAGATATTTTCGGCAATATTACGGATAGTACGAGAATTATATTACTAATAATAATAATAAATATATTACTGATAATACGAGAAATATCTTGGTTGAGTATTATCATAGCCGAACTCAAAATACCAAAACTTACAACATTAAATGAAAAATATTACTAAAACACATAATATTCTTGAAATTGGGCTTACTGTTACATAAGACCTTACCAAAAAGGTAGGCCGACTAAACCCAATAGTTGAATTAATGAATTAAATTTAAGTAGACCAAAGTTCTTCATACATACATTCAAAGCACCACTTTAAACGCTGCTAGATATATCTCATAATATTGAACCACTTTGTATATGAGCAAAGCTATGGGTGAGATGAAAAAAAAAACTGCAACAAAGTCAAAAGCTATAATTTTTATTTTTTTTTTTAAATTTTATTGAATGAAAGCTAAAAATGTCGGAAATAGCATCAAATTTTAGAATAATTTTAGATTTGTTCGAATTGGTCATCTTTGGCACGAATTATAGCCTTTTAACGGCTAATGAAACCGTCACACGCTACCCGAATGTTGCTCTACGGTATTTTGGCCCATTCCCGGCGAAGCGCTTGCTGGAGGTGATCGACACTTTGGTATTTTTTAGTGCAACCTTGCTTTCCAAAATACTCCAGACACAATAGTCCCACGGATTGGTGGAAATTGTGCGCTGGAAATGAAGCGAGGAACCTCATTTTATAACCATTCTTGGGTGGCGCGTGCTGAGTGCGAGTCCTGTTGGAATGTCCAAGGTCTGCGCCAAAACGTTTGCGTGCTCAAGGCACAAGGGTGTATTAATCCTCTAGAATATTTTCGCGATAATATTCGGCATTTATTCTGATGCCACGGTCGATTCATTCGAGCGGAGGACGACCATCGGTTGTTATGGCGGCCCACACCATCACCATGGCCGGCGCTTGAGTTCTGGTGGCCAAACGAAGGTGCACATTTTCAGCTGACCTCTTTGGCAAGTGAAAAGGATCACTTTGTTTAGCTGGAGAAAACCAAATTCGGCAGCATTTCTGCTGATGTTGCTGTTTTCTTCCGTCCACTTCCCTGACGTCGGGCTACGCTACCAGTATTACGGTAACGAGCGATGGTACGAGACACATTTAAATGCTGGAGTGCTCTAGCGATAGCCACTTGTGGTTTTCTAGCCAAATATAAAGAAATCACACCATCACGCTCGAGTTCTATCACGAATAACTTTTTTTCTGGAAAATTCTCACCAAAATGCTTTAGTACGCTTATAAACAATATAATGAGCTGTCACTGGAATAATTTTAACAGCTGTCGGATGAGTGGCTTAGAAATGAAAGCAGTCTGAAATTGGTTTCAGGTTTTTCATCTCATCCCGCATAGTGTCGAAGTACCAAAATTTGGGCTTTAACATAGCCCTACTGAATAATAGTGTAAATGCGTTAAATCATATGAGTGGTCCCCATAGGAAAGGTGAGCGGTCCCAATAGGAAACCTTTACTTGAATTAACAGTAGAGTCCATATAATTTAAATATTAAAGATTATTTCATGTAATTATTGACCCCAACTGCTCCCCAAATGATCCATCCGCTTAGTCCATTTTTGACATACTTCGAACATTGAGATACTAGTTATCTCGCGAATAAATGCTACAATGTTGTCTTACAATGCATCGATGGGGACGGGCTCGTCTATATAGACATGGGCTCTATATAGACATGGGCTCTAAGAAAGCCCCACAAATAAAAGTCTAAAGACGTTAAATAGCAAGGCGGCAAATGGACCTGTGCCGATCGTGAACTAAAGTTTTCAACTATGTGTCATGAAAATCAACCTCTTGCTTTTTGGACAAACAAAAGTTAGATATCGTATCACAGTCACATTACGATTTGCAGCATCTTTGAGGTAGTGCGGTCCAATGATGCCACCAGCCCATAAAGCGCACCAGAATATGACTTTTTGTCGCTTTTGCAATGGTTCTTGCTTATCTTCACTGCAAAGTCTACAATTCTTCTCCTTCGCTAAATACAAAAAAATGGATCTTCGACCAACTGTCCTATAGCCCATGCACCAAAAATACTGCGTTGCGGTAGGTCGTTCGGCTTCAATTGTTGGCCCGCAAATTTGCAACCTTTTTTGATTAACAGAGTCCCAATTGCTTTGCGAATTGGCAGCGAATCGATAAGTGATGGTCAGCATTATCCCTGTCCTATACAGCTGTATTTTACGTTGGCGAGTTGTTGGTTGAATATCCAAAAATGCGAAATTTAGTCACAATACCCGAAGAGCCCCTTTAGTGGTCGATTAATCTGACCATAACATGGCAGAATGATTGAATGATTTTCAAGAATTGAATTAAAGATGTTTGACAGTTAAACAAAACACGGAATGTGTGTGAGCTATTTAAACCAGCTCTACATTTATAATCTACTTGAGTTTTGCTGAAATTATTAAAAAATTGAATTTTGTCGTTCAGTGTAATTGATAAATTTATAGAGACTGATGCATATATTGGTTGTTTGGGCAAGGCTCTCAAAGATATAGATGGAGTTTCAATTAGGGATAATGATCCCCAATCAATATTCCCTATTATGTTTTTTTAATTTTATAAATAAACAATTTTAAATGATTCAAATTTTCCTATCTCTTTCTCTCCCCCCTCTTTTCAGGATGGTGAACCCGTCAACACAAACGACAAGAAATCCCATCGTGTTCTTTTCAAAGATGGTGCCCTCTTCTTCTATCGCACGGTGCAGGGTAAAAAGGAACAGGACAGTGGTGTCTATTGGTGTGTGGCCAAAAATCATGTTGGCAAAGCAGTCAGTCGTCATGCCACTTTACAAATAGCGGGTAAGTGTTGAAAAATGCCAAAGAAATTAAAATGATGTAGAAACTCAAATGAAAATGAATGCAAACATGTCTTAAACAGCCACTAATGACACCAAGAATGTTGGTCGGGTTTTTGCCACCTCTCCGACCAAACAAGTGGCAAATAAGCAAATTAACACTTTGATGTGAAACGAAGAAGAAAAAAATATCCTCTCCTTCTACTGAATGGCAAAAGTAGAAAAAGGGAGAGATCGCGACTCTGTCTATGAAAATGCAGGAAGACATTTAGAGAAACATTAACAGTTTTTTTATGTACCACAACATTTGCGGAAAATATTGTGGACAAGTGTTTTTTGTTGGTGTCGTCATTTTACTCTCTCGGGTGGTGGTAGGTGTTGATGACGTCTTGATGTTATCTTCAAATGCTGTAAAATATAGAACCCCTACGTATGTTGGCTCCGCAGGGTTAGTCCAAAGCGAAACAAAAAACTAGCAGAACATGTTGACTTTTCCACATCACCACTTTTCACACATTTATAACATTTTGGCCAGCAAACGAGCCACGGCAGCCATGGCAGCGGTGCTCATAAATCTATCATTGTGGCGGTTGTTAAGCAAAACATCAATTGTATCGTTGATTTCCCCATGCAACAACAACGACAACAACAGTAAAAACAAATTGAGAATGGTTGGGTTAGGGAACCATGCCATTCATACTCCAATTCACACTCCCGTTTTCAGAGGGAATTTGAAATGATGGAGTGCTGATGTTGCTGCTGTCATTCGCAATCGTATGAAGGCAGAACCTAATGGTTATGTTTCGCTTTAGAATATTTATTATTTCAACTCGCTGTCAAAAGGGCAGTGGTGAGAGATACGAATGTAATACAAAACAACAAAACACCGCCAAATTTTGTTTTTTTTTTTTTTTTCTGAAACCAAAATTGTAGGAATTTTAAATGTGACAATAATTTGTTGTTTCAACGAGCCATTTGTGGGTCTCGATATGTGGTGTGGTGTTGTATAGTGAAAATTGAGTACTACATGTGTTGAATAAATGTTTTTGGTAAATAAAAATATTTACACTTATGTTGGCCTGGGGAATAATTTCACATTTGGAAAACCAAAAAAAAAATCTTCTCATTCTCGCGTAAATGCAACTAAATCATTTTTATGACTTAAATGGAATTGAAAAGCGAAAAGAAAGAAAAAAAAAAACGAATCGTTAAAAATAAATTGAAATTGTACCAAGAGAGGCTCTCTAATGTTCAATTAGAAGTGTGAATGTGTTGCAGTTTGTTGAAAATTCTGTCGAACGAAGTTGTGTTTGCTTGAAAATTACTTTGTATTAATGGTTTCTTTGAAAGTTGTAAATGGTTGGCGTAGTGGAGGGTATGAAATGTTAAGGTGGCTGGTTTCGTGGGCCATCATTTTGATCAAGAAGGCATTTAGTAAATGTGGAAATGGAGAATGCTTTCAAAGTGGACAACAACTTACAAATATTGGATTTTTATTTTTATACACTCCACCATACTATGGAGGGTATATCAAGTATATATAAATACAAAGTATCTATAAATGAAATTCTTGGTCGATTTAGCGATGTGGAAATGGAGAATGCTTTCAAAGTGGACAACAACTTACAATATTGGATTTTTATTTTTATACCCTCCACCATACTATGGAGGGTATATCAAGTATATATAAATACAAAGTATTTATAAATGAAATTCTTGGTCGATTTAGCGATGTCCACCTGTCTGTCTGTCTGTTTAATCACTCTATCTTTCGAACGAATTGAGATGGAAGGCTAAAATCCCATTTTATTAGTTTACCTACCTTGTCTATTGGCCCATATAACAGTAACTCCCGATATTCTGTATTTGGAGAATATTAAGGAATTAAGGTAAAATTTTTAAGGGATATGTTTAAAATTCGTCTTAGAATTTGTAACGGGTTCTACGTCGTATGACCTCTATATATGTCCACGTTTTCCTCTAGACCCCATGTAACAGTGCTTCTCGATGTTTGGTATTCTGATGATTTTAGCCACATTTCCTTAGGGAATTATTTATAATTCGGTACTTAGGATTCGTAATGGGTTCTACATCTTGTGCCAGATTATTGTAAGTGTATATACACAGTTTCATATAATCTCCCCTGGTATTCGGTATGTTGACGATTCAAGGATTCTACCTCATGTGGCAAATCATTGTATATAAAAACTCTAGAATTTGTTTTTGAAAATTTTTCTAGAGGTAGGTATCAGACCCGGATTTCATGACATTGACCTGAAATTCCGGGCCCGAGACCCGGATCGTCTTCGTTATTAACAATATAGATGTGGTATATTATATAAGTTGTGTCAAATAGATAGATTATAGATTTTCTGGATTCGGATTTAAAAAAATACTTAAAAGACGAAACCATATATTTTTTTGGACTAAGACTCTTTAACAAAATCCGCATCAATCGAAAAAGTTCCCATTTCTACATTCTGTGGCAGATCATTGTATATAAAGGTCCACGTTCCCACATATAGCCCAATATAATGGAATCTCCCAATATTCGGTATTGTGATGATTTTAGCCATATTTTTTTAACGGAATTGTTTAAAATTAGTTTCGTAACAGTTTCTACCTCCTGTGGCAGATCATCGCCTTTATGCGATCACGTATTTTGCAGATTTTAGCCTCATTTTTTGACAGAATCAAAATTGGTATTTAAAATAAAAATAGATAACAACAAGTGTGGTAGGAAACCGATACCAAAGCCTTTTTTTAATATTTTTGGCTTAACTCACGTCTACTCTTGAAATTTTTTTTCAAGAGGTAAGTAATCGCATTCCGGATTTTTTTATTTATTTATTTTTTTGACGTACCCAGATTTCCTGATATGTGAACCAAAATCCGAGTCCATGTCGTGGTTAGATACAAATTATAGTTAAAACTTCAACCATTCCAAAATATGTGATACTATCTTTCTTGGATCTTAAGATATGTGTCTTTGAACCCGGACGACCGGATTTTTTCGGTACATTGAAATAATGTTTTTAGAATAAATAAAACTTTACTTCGCTTAGCCGGTATTGGACATTCATAAAAGGCCGAAAGTATCAAATTAAGAAAAACTTTGCTCGCTTAGGCGGTTATGGACATACCTAAATCTAAAGCCCTTGCCGAAGTATCAAGTTTAGAAAAAAATTGTTTGCCTAGCCGGTATGGGACAAAGAAATTTAGAAAAAACTTTGGTTCGATCTACGTGTTGTCAGAGCCCATATCTCTGGATCCAGGATCCATTAATAGCATATATTATAGCATTGTGTAAAGTTTAGAGAGTAAACTATGATTCATGGTCTCCCTTCGACTTTTTGGGGATTTTATAAAAACCGATAATTTGTATATAACTCCAGAATCGTTTTAAATAATCCATAATGTCACCACTTGTTGGATAGGTATTAGCTTTCAAATTATGCCTATATATTGTTTATATCGGCATAGTAGATCCATATCTAACCTGGGTCTTGGGCCCTTATTTTTGGGTCAAATGTCCGAGAATTCAAATCTGTCTGCCAAATTTTTTTTCGCGGAATCTGGGTGCATGTACTTACCTCTTGAGAAAATTAAAAAAAAAATCTTTGAGTTTTTTTGTTTGTTTTAATTCTTTAATAACATTTTTCCCCAAACCCTTTCCCTCAATAGCCTATCAAAAAAATAATAAATGTTAAACACAATTTCTGTCGATAACACATTCCAAAATAATAATTTCAATTAGAATGGAGACAATAGTAACCAGGTTTGGTATGCAAAGCATGAAATTTCAATTAATTTTTGTAGGTTTCTGTCTTATTGCTACACTCCCTGTGGCTCAGTCGACGTTTGCTCTTTGATTATTTTATTAAAAAAGATTTTTTAATTAATTAATTACCTGCAACAACATATAACACGTGACGTGACTTCTTTTGTTTTCTGTTCTTTTTTTCCTTCTTCTTCAATTATACAACAATATGTATTGTTGTTGTTGTGATTTTTTTTTTCACTGATGACGATTAACAATGAGGTGACTTGAAGAATTTTTAATTAGAGAGGCGGTGTGGTGTTGTTATTGTTTTAGCACCTCAAACATTGTACATTTTGGATTTGACAGCACAACACCGAGAAGACAAGGTGTTCCGAAAAATTCTTAGAAATCTTGGCAGAATTTTGTTTTTATAAACTGATTAACATAATTTTGCATTAACTACAGCGTTACAAAGAAAATTCCATTTTTCTTTATAAATATATGGAATTTATGAGATTTTTGACATCTGCTGTCAAAGCCTTTTGTCATTATTGGTATGACAATAATGCTGTGTGATACCCACCATATTGACATTTAAATATGCACACACACTCATCATTCGAGGGCAATGGTAAATATTTGTATACTTTAATAAAAACACCCAACAGCTTGATGAAAAATGTTAAATATTTGTTACATTATCCCTCCATCCAATGGCAAAGGTGTGTTTATTCCTCGCATAGTGTAACTTATAAAAGCTGCATTTTTTCTTGTCTTTACTCTATTGACATGGTGTTTGAGTTGGAAAAATCAAATAAAACTCTCTTAAAGTCAAACAAAACAATTCAAACAAATTTTTTATCTTCAAAGGTCTTAGTGTAGGAGAACCGCCTATACGCTCCCTCGCTTGATTTCCATCGTTGACAAAATGTTTACATCTTGTAAATAATGCAAGTGTTAAGAGCTACAACTGGTGTTTTTGGATTTGTTGTTGCTGTTGTTTTTAATGCAGTTGAGGAAAATCCTCAGTCTCTCAGTCATTGCACAGCTAAACTAATAATAACAAAGTGTATTTTAAATATTAACTTTTGAAAGCCTTAAAAATGACAGATATCGGCAGAATAATGATCGCCATGCCTTTCTTTCTGATGAAACAAAGAAAAGGAAATGGTAATTGACACCTGAAATGAATGATTATATATGTTTTCTTAAAGCAAACTCACAAGAAAAACCGACAAAGT